TGCCTCGGCCTCTGGAGCGCAGAGCCGGACCTGCTGCGGGGCGCCCCGTCCAGCCGGCTCGTCTGTCTGTGTCGGCGCCCCTCGGCCTTGGGGACCCAGAGTCTCCGCAAGGAGCGGGTGCAGGAGCTCAGGTAACCCGCAGGTGGGGATGGCAGCGGCCGCAGCGTCCCCTTCTCTGCTTCCGCTGGCTTTGGCTGGGCGATGCCCGCCCGGTTCCTTGGTCCTTCTCAGAGGGGGTCCCTGTATCTGCAGAACGACTAGCGCGCCGCTCCCCTCCCTTTCCTCTCTCCCCTCACCTGGGCTCACTGATAACCAGGCGTTTCCACGGAGGGCTCGCCCACCGGTGGGGCTCAGGTGGACAGGCAGAGGACAGGAGTCGCTTCGGGACTTTTTCCAACAGGGACGCACCGTAGGCGGGCCGGGGCCAGACCCGCACTGGCCGCCACGGACTCCTGCATGTTGCATGTTGCGCTGTTGCGTTTCCTCTTCCCACTTCCCAGGACCAGAAGTGAAGGCAGTTAAAACATGTGCGGCGCGATTTCTGGGATTTTTCCTTGGAAAAAGATTTACGGGAAAGCTGGGACAACAGGGCTGCAGAGAAAACCCTCGGAAAACTCATGTAAATCTGTAGTCAGCGCCTGAGCTATTCCTGATTCATTTGAAGTACTTTGAATCTCTGGGAAAAAAATTAAGAAAAGAAAAAACCCTGAAACTCATTTCCTAGTCTACAAAGAAATGTTTCTGGAGCAAAGACTCTAAAATTTCACTTATTCAAAAAAAAACTGTACCTTTCATAGTGCTCCTTAGTTTCTTGAACATTGTGAAATGTCTCATTTTTCCTTATTTCAAGGGTTTCTCCTGGGTCTGCTTCTGTTTCTAAGGTGACAGCTACTCCTCTGTACACTGTTTTTCTCTCACACTTTTCCAAAGGACTGTGGTGAAGTGAATCTTCTGCACCGGGGTCTGCCGACCCTGCTGAGGGCTGGTACTGTTCCGTATGCTCATAACTTATAGATCAGGAACCATTCCTGTAGAGCAGGTGAGCTAAAGAATAGGACTGAAAAGAAACAGCAAAACAAGTTAATACATCAAATAAACTCCTCTCCCTAATACGGTGCCGTCATTCAATCCCATGGTTACTCAGTGTAGTCTGCTACATCCTCCAAGTGCCAACCTTTGGAGTCTCCTTAATTCTGTTAATGACTTGTCTGGGTTGACTAATTGTGCTCTATAAAGTCAATCTCTTTCTTAGGCTGTGCCATTTCCCTTAGACTATCAAATATAACTCTGGGATTTGAATGGCTTGCTTCCATTTTGTCTAATTATTAAAGCACAGAGGCCGATGGAAAAGAAGGTACCATCTCCTTGGAGCATTCTATTTGAAATTTATGTGGAGAGACGTGGAATATATCAGAATAGCAAACACATGGAAACTCCTAGTTCCCTTTGGGAAGCAGAGCTCTTTTGGTGGCAATGCAGAGGAGGGGGAATGAGAGAGAGAGAGAGACCATAGGGAAGGAATAGAATAGGCATAGAATATTACATCACAGCAAGGAATCTTGCATAGTTAGTTACCATTAGCAAAGGAGTGGACATCAATTTTTAGTAAAATTGTTTAGGTTCACATTTGTTTGCCTAATTTTCCAGTGGCTTCAGTGTATGAGATGGTGTGATGGAGCTGAAACAGATGAGAAAGACTTAGTTTTTGTGTGGAGAGATTGCACATGATGGGGGAACAAAGGAGAGCAATTGCAGTGTTGTGTGTGTGTGTGTGTGTTCATGTGTGGTGTGAGAAGGAAACATGGGTTGCCAGAGGAGCAGAGAGATGAGAGAGTGGCCAGCTCAGTCACTGGAGAAAATGAAGTGTGACACAGGTGAAAGTTGTCTACCAGGGTGTCTGGGAGAGGAGGCTGGAGGGGAGTCAGGGATGATGTCCAACCCTGAACACCATGCTATGGAGCTGGGATGTTCTGCTGTGGGCCAGGGTCACCACCCAGTGTGAGTACCATACCTTCAGTGGGAAAGCAGATTAATGGCATCTGTGGTCAACAGACCATGCAAAAGTAAATGTATTCAAGAACTCGTGGACTCTCTAGGGCGAACTTGCTTATACTAATGCTAGAAGCCAAATGGGTGTCAGATGTTGGGAGCTTTTCAAAAATTAGCAAGAGAAGAGGGTCCTAGTTCTCTCCAGCTGGAGGGACTAGGAGAGGAGGCGGCACGACCCCAGGACTGGGGACCAGGAGGTGGAATCACTCGGGCCTGTCCGGTGGAAAGTGGAACCACAGAGGAGCTGGGAGGGGGCAGGGAGAGGGAGCAGGGTGGGAGACTTCAGAGGTCCAGTCCTTCCTCCTGCCCAGGGAAGGCCTCAGCTGTCCTGTTTTACCCAAGAAAACAGAGCAGGAAAAGAGGGAAAAGGAGTGGGGGGCACACACATCCAGCCAAGCATTGTCTGTGGGCCCAGTAATCATGACTCACCAAGCAACAGCAATAGAGGCTGTTATGATTAATAAACAGATTCATCACAAGAGGATTGGAATCAATAGCAGCAGCCTCCGGTGATTATGAACGTATTCTCCAGGTACTACTACTAGGATGATGGATCTGAGTCTTCATAAACTTAAAAAAAGGAATCTTGTAGCAGAAACTGATATATTTTAAACAACCTGGAGACAATGGGGAAAATGACATGGTCAGGTCAGAAAGATCACTTAATGTCAGGGTAAACTCTGTCTAGCAAAATGTAGGAGCCTTAGAGTAGAAGTACCTCACTGCTGCCTTTGCACCCAGCACAAGTCCTGGTTCATGACGTAGGTTGTTAAATGCTTGCTGAATCCATGCTTGGCTTTACCTGTTTATCTGTGAATGAATGAACAACCAAAGGAATGAATCAATGAAAGCAAAGGAGGAAAGGAAAGAAGTTATAAGGCTGGTAATATGTCAAAGAATTGAGAAATACAGAACCAATATGATAGAAACAGAGAAGAAGGTGAAAGGCACATGTAAGAGATCAGTCTGAAAGTTCTCATAAATTTCGGGACTAAGATGACAAAGCCTAGAATGGCTCCGGTTTTTAAACTGTAGGTGGTTTAATCCATAAGAATAATATTGACTGAAGCAGGTCCCACAAAGAGAAAAAATGGTATAGGATGGGAGGCTAATGGGAAGTTAGGTGCTGAAAATGTTATCTTTAGGGTCTAGGGGAAGATGACATTCAGACTGGGGCATGTTTTCAGGCACTGTAGGATTCTGCTGTATGGTATGTGGGTAGTTTATTCCAAATCATTCAAAAGAACTGTTTTACACAGGTGAGTTATTTTTAATTCTAGCTGACAGGGTAAAAAATGACTATGAAACAGCATTTGCTCAGTTTGCCATATTTTGTATTCTCAAAGTTAGGGTACCGGGCACAGCTTTTAATGCTTTTTCCCCTATATAATTTGTCATGGTATATTGATAGATTTAAAACAGTTGAGATAGTAAAAGACACTTTCCTCTCTTTCCTTAAAATTAGTTTGACAAATCTAAAGCAGTTATAAAATATAACATTTATGCCTCTTAAAATAAATGGGAGCGACTGGGTCGCTCCGACATTGGAATTTTGTCTCTACTGTAGGAGAAAACGACATTTTACCACATTTAAACACATTTTAAAGAGCAGGCTTTAATTCACCTGCATTTGTGAATGGACCCGGTAAGGCTCCCTTTATGGAGATGTTGCACTGCGCGCCCTTTTAAAGCTCAGAGGCCGGGCGTGTTGGCCACAACCCTCCTACATCGGCTTCCGTGGACATGTCTTTTTCCCAGACTTGTGCCTTGCTAATTTCACATTTATCTTTTTATTTTGAAGTTGTAGGTTCTCGTGCTGGTCCACGAGGAACTGCACTGAAAATGGGCCCTGTGGGTACAGGGGCAGATGAGAACCAGACGGTGGGAGAAGTGAAGGCGGAGCCCTTCGGGCTGGGACTCACCACTCCTGGGGGTGAGCTGGCCCCAGGCCCCGAGCCCCAGCTCATCGACAGCACCAAGCTGACGGAGGTGCGGGTCGTGCTCATACTGGCCTACTGCTCCATCATCTTGCTGGGCGTCACTGGCAACTCCTTGGTGATCCACGTGGTCATCAAATTCAAGAACATGCGCACAGTGACCAACTTCTTCATCGCCAACCTGGCTGTGGCGGATCTTTTGGTGAACACACTGTGCCTGCCGTTCACTCTCACCTACACCTTGATGGGGGAGTGGAAAATGGGTCCAGTCCTCTGCCACCTGGTGCCGTATGCCCAGGGCCTGGCAGTGCAAGTGTCCACGATCACCTTGACAGTAATTGCGCTGGACCGGCATCGGTGCATTGTGTACCACCTGGACAGCAAGATCTCCAAGCAAAACAGCTTCCTGATCATTGGCTTGGCCTGGGGCATCAGTGCCCTGCTGGCAAGTCCCCTGGCCATCTTCCGGGAATACTCGCTGATTGAAATTATTCCAGACTTCGAGATTGTGGCCTGCACCGAGAAGTGGCCAGGTGAAGAGAAGAGCATGTATGGCACTGTCTACAGCCTTTCCTCCTTGTTGATCCTCTACGTTTTGCCTCTGGGCATCATATCTATTTCCTATATCCGGATCTGGAGTAAACTGAAGAACCACATCAGTCCCGGCGCTGCGAATGACCACCACCATCAGCGGAGGCAGAAGACCACCAAAATGCTGGTGTTCGTGGTGGTGGTGTTTGCAGTCAGCTGGCTGCCGCTTCACGCCTTCCAGCTTGCTGTGGACATTGACAGCCAGGTACTGGACCTAAAGGAGTACAAACTCATCTTCACAGTGTTCCACATCATCGCCATGTGCTCCACCTTTGCCAATCCCCTGCTGTACGGCTGGATGAACAGCAACTACCGGAAGGCTTTCCTCTCAGCCTTCCGCTGCGAGCAGAGGCTGGACGCCATTCACTCCGAGATGTCTGTGACGTGCAAGGCTAAAAAGAATGTGGACGTCGTGAAGAACAGTGGCCCCGCAGACTCTTTCGCCGAGGCTACCAATGTCTAAGGACGTGTTGTGGGAGCCTAAGGGTGAATTCTGACCAGAGCTTTTGATCTGGTTGAGGAGGGCTCAGGTATGTGCTGATCCCCCATTTTAAGGATGGAAAGCATCTGAACAGAAGTGCAGGCAGTGTCATTCCTGGACAACTGGCAGGCAGACCCTAGGGGAAGCAGTTGTATTCAAAGACGGGGTGATACTATGGCTTCACTACAGCTGCTTGGGTTGGGTCGAATTGTGTGTAAAAGCAGAAATACTTTGGACTCTTCCCACGCGAAGGAAACCTGAACAAGGAATTGCCATTGTCAGCACTGCTAGCTGTGGGGGTTTCCTAAGCTGACTGTATGGGGTGCCACGTGCTCAGGGCTCTCCCCTTCTCTGAGGCACAGCCTGCTGAAGGCGAACCTCTCTGGGGAGTGCTGGCTCTGCTGGGGGACAGTTTGGTTTTCTTGTTTTTCCTACAGATGAAATTCTGAAGAGTGCGCTCTTGGTAAATATCTCTTTTAATGACATCACAATGACTTCAAGGGAATAAATGAAAATTTGAGAGATGATTAGCATTTTTGGCAAATCATGGGGGAAATTCATAATAATCTGTGAGCAGTTGTTCTTAGAATCAAATGCATTTGGTGAGAATGTTTTCTTAAAGTGAAAATCAAAGGCAGGAAATCTCGGAATTACAAAAAATGTAAAGGATTCTTAAATTATCCTTGCTTTATATGAACACTATTATATAATAAATAGGTAAGCAACATCACTAATTGTTACACAGCTAGAAATTTGTATGACTTCTGTTATTATTCCTGTGTTGGAGTAGAGTTGGAGCTCTAAGTAAGATTAGAAAATCATTTTTATGGTGTTTCATAACATTTCACGAGCATATGCTGCTTTTTGCACTGGCACCTGGCTGTGCCAGCTTTAGGGGATGCTGCAATGCTATTTTCTTTAGAATTCATTTTCCATGGACTCTTTCATGATAAATAAAAATACAATGTCAGAAAATGGCCCATCTGGTAAGAAATATTCAGAGCACCGAATTCAGTCCATTTTGCAAATGTTCTGTTTCAACCAATTTCCCATAAGTTTTCTCTTTTCAAAGTAATTATAGTTTTTGGATAATGTGAATGTATACATAATGCCTGTGTACTATAAATAATGAAACAAAAAACTAGTATTTTTTATTTAATGATTTTATGATTTTTTTTTTTTTTGGTACCAGGGATCTAATTTGGGTCCTTGTGCTTGCAAGGCAAGCGGTGGCACCACTGAGCTAAATCCCCAACCCATGAATATAATTTTATTTCAATAGTATCCAACCAAAGATGCTTATCTTTATGTTTATGAAAAATAAATGAGATGTTAAAATAGTTATATTACTTTAGATGCTGTTAAAGAAGTTTCATTATAGTTATATTTTTGTAAATGTGATAGAATTTGCAAATATATTCCTTACATTTCATTAAATTCAACATGATTATTATACTTAATTACTACATTAATTTTATGAGTTGGAGAGCTTCACTTTATGGATACATTTGACATTTATAGTACAGTTCTTATTTCTTTTATATTACAAACAAAAATGGTCTTTGTAGGTTTGGGATACTGAAAAAATAATAAAACAATAGAAATAGGTTTACTGGAAAAATGTATACCTGTAATATACTGAAGAATTCATTTTGTTGTTGGACTCAGCATAACTAAGAAGAACCTTTTTGTCTTTAACATAGTAGTTTCTTTTCTTCAGATGTTAGTAAAAAATTGCAGTTAAAGATTTTATTGCTCTTGCAGAAGTCTTACACTGTAGGAAATGTATGTGCTACTGTGTTATCAGCTGTGATACTGAAGTACAGAATCTCGGTTATGATTCTGTTAGCATATGTCTGATCAAATTAACTATGTCAGTTCACTGAAAATAACTTTTTATGTACTACTTTTAATGTTGAAATAAAGAAAATCCAGGAAATCGAAGAAATTATGTGAACTTTAGTCTAGTTCCTCTGTCTTCTTGTTCCCAAACCCAAGTAGATGGACCTGCTTCACAACTGCACTTATAATCCATAGTTGGAGAGAATGCTTGATTCTTTGTTTTGCAACTGGACATTTCTTTTGAAGTTCAATCCTTGTGTCTCTGTCAGCTGCTGGAACATGTTGACTTGGTCTCCCCAGCTGAACAAACTCCGCATGTATGAGGTAGGACCTGCCGTTTTAGTACACACCTACTATATCCTGTCCTGTCTCCACTCTGTCTCAGTCATGGTTTTAATATTTACCAGTTCCCAGAAGCCTTAGACTTTGGAGTCATCCTTGGACCCTTCTGTGTTTTTTCTCACACCCAATTCTTTCATTTTTGTCCTATTTGAATCAGTTCACTTTTCTCTATCTCCATCGTCCAGGTATGATTGCCTCACAGATCCATTTTATCTGTCCTCTGGATTAATACAGTATCTTTCTGTTTTCCTAATTGATCTTTCTGTGTCTTGATATCTCCTAAAGCATTCCAGTTTTTACCCAGTAGCCAGAGTGATTTTTCAAAATTTCAGATTTTATCGAACCATTCTTCCAGTTTAAACTTGTGAACATCTCCTTATAATTCTCACAATAAATTTGAATTTTACAACTTGGAAGGCTGTTTAGCCCTGGACTGTATCTATATATTTTATCCCATGCACATTCGCTTTTCTTATTAAGGGATTTCAAGCCTCGTCAGGGAAGGGGACAGAAGCTGTCTGAACTACTGTGGAATCACAGTGCCTGCAGTCACAACACCAAGTTAATGCTCAGTAAGTATCCATCTGAGAAACCGAGACTATTAAAGCCAAGATTTGAGGCTCTGCAGTGTTGCAAATCATACACTTTCCCCATTTCATTAAACTTCTTCCTGGAAAGTAGATTGTAGCTATACAAGAATCCATGAGGCTTACTCAGGATCATTACTTTTCGAAGGTCACTAAAGATAGATATTTGCACATCTAGAAATGGTTGTATACTAGATTTCATGAGTGGCTCAAAATTATCTATGTCTTTGACACCAGGGGAGAATTGAGCAACCAGTGAAGTATATTAGTTATGGTTCAGACAGCTAGAGAAGTCAATAGAAATATAGTTAAAGAATCCAATGAGGAGGGGGATGGGGGAGTCAAGGTTCATTTGCAGCCAAAAACCATCAGTTAAAATAACCTGCATTGAGATCTGGATCCCGTCAGACTTGACCCCATGGAGGGATGGAACAACGAGGTCTAGAGGCGTGGAGAAAATAGAATTTTATGTTCACAGAAGCAATGAGAAAGAGTGAATAACTGTTTCTGCCAGTTTTTCCAGGAAAAATAATTTATTGGAAACAAAAACTCTCTATTTACGAAGACAACCCCACTTACACAGTTGTTTTGGTCGTTTTTGTCAAAGGTTCATAAAGCCTCACATCTGTGAGGCAACAGTATATTTATAAAGCAGGTTATTACCTCAAAAGCTGCACAGAGTTATACAAATCTGGTTTGTATCCAAGATGAAGATTTTACATTTATTTTCTGATATTTGGTTTAAAAGTCTAAAATTGGATGTAGTAATCCTTATCTGTGAGGACCTTATGAATACTATTTATAATTGTATTATTAAAATACAATGTAAAATATATAATTGTTGTCATAAGTATTAGCCTGTGTTTTAAAGGCCAGGCCTCAATAGCTTTTTTTGTTTGTTTGTTTTCTGAGACAGAGTCTCACTATGTAGTTGAGACTGACCTGGAACTCACTTTATAGCCCAGGTTGATCTCAAACTCGTGGTGATCCTCCTACCCCAGCCTCCCGAGTGCTGGGATTACAGGTGTGCACCACCATCAATAGCTATTTTTAAGTAGATATAATCAGGAAATTGGCTTGGAATTTTGGAAGTATCATTTTGAGGTGGATTGATATTTTTATACCAAACTTATTTAAATGTAAACCTGAGTTTTCTAAACACTCCTGATCATTTGTATTATAGTTACTGTTAGGGACCTGACGCCACCATCACAGGCTGTATTCTCTGGTTCTTCTTGCCTCTTAAAATGACCTCATGCTCTTATCTTTAGTTTCCCTCCCCCCAAGGCCACAGCTGCCTGGAGGGTTAAACCTGTTTCTGTAGGACTGAACCCGTAAAAGACACCCTGGCCTGTGACAGGATAAAAGGAGCCCACTCCTCATAAATAAGCAATAGCCCAGCCCCAAAACAATAAAAGGACCTTCCTTTCTTTGTTCTCTCTTTTTCTCTCCTCTCTCCCTGACCTGCCTTCCTTAATAAAATCCCCTGTCAGACCTCTCGGTGTGTGGCCTAGCTGTTGAGCATCGCTGTGCCTCTATATTGGTGTCTGAAGTGGGATCTGGGATTGCTGGTGCCCTGACTTAGGGTCAGAGGCCCGAAACCCAAGACCCCTGATGCTCTGACTGGCCCACCTGAAGTCCGTCCATCTTCCCTGATGCCACCCTTGCAAACAACACAGGCACGGTTGGTCCCATCACCCCCAGACTTTTGGGTAAGTCCCCTCATGACGGTCTGGGGTGTGGGTGGCTCGGACTCAGGTGACCAGGAAAGAGACTTCCATCCGGGACATGGGTCAGATACCAGGCCTCATGTCTCCCTGCTGGAGGCTCACTGGGACAAGTCTGGGACTTGCCTGTTCTGCCCCCACCTCTCTTGGGATGCCTTGAAAAGGTGGTAGACCCTGCTCCTCCAGACCCCCTCCCAGATCCATTACTTCTCCATTTGGAGTTTGGGTCCCTTCTTTACAGGTTCGGAATCTAGAAAGACTAACCGGTGACTTCCAAATCTCAAGAGACATCTTGTGACCTCACCTCACTGTCTCCTTCCTGGTCGCCATGGGCTCCGGATCTTCCATACCTACAGACTCTCCCTTGGGGTGCTTGCTCTGAAATATGGAGAGCTGAGACCTAAACCTAAATGGCTAATATGCCTGTCCACTCAAATCCGGCCTCAATGTAACCAAAACGTGTGGCCACCTAACAGCTCACTCGAACCTGGTCTTTACAATTTTTGTGAGCATCAAGGAAAATGGTCGGAGAGTCCATATGTTCAGGGCTTCTCTGATCTCCTCAGCCAGCCCTCTCTTTGCTCTCTGACTCAAAAGCAGCCTCCCCTCCCCAAACTTTTAGTGGCTCGGGATATCTCTGCTTCCACTACTCTTTGTTTCAACTCCTCAGACCAGATGATCTGGCCGACGATCCTCCTCATCTCAGAAACCAGGGAGAGACAAACCCCACCCCTCAGCCTCCTCCTCTCCTCCTAATCCCCCCTTGTCTCTACCTTCCCTTCCCGCTGCTCCATCTTCTAAACTGACTCCTCTCACCCGCTCCAAATCTCATAAACTCCCCAGCTCAGAACCTCCCTAAACCGGCCACACAATGGCGCCACTGTGCGAGGTTGCCAGAGTGGAGGAAATCGTTCGAGTCCACACCCCTTTTCTTACGATGGAACTAGACCTCATCAGGCTAGACTCAGATGCTTCACAGCTAATCCTGTGACTTTCATCAAACAAGTTCAGCTTTTAACCAGTTTTATCAAATCGCCCTTTGTCTTTAACTGAGACTTTGACAACTTAGAGCTTTGTGTGCTGTTGTGGGGCCTGAACAACCCAGCCTAGGAGCTGCTCAAGCTTCTGCTCCATGACAATCAGCTGATAAAAATGAGATATCATTGCAGGCAAATCCCAGGGCTTCCCCTTTGGAGGAGGTCCAGCTGCCTCCCCCTCCACTTGAGTTGCTAAGATCGCTGGTGTGCAGGAGGTGCTGCTGCTGTTCAGGAGTGTGACCTAGATTGGGATTACAACTCCAAGGCGGGTATCGAGGCTTGGGACAGTACATTAATTGCTTGCTCATGGGCTATGCAGAGCCACCATGAAACCTGTAAATTATGATAAGCTTAATGAAATCATACAGGACAAAAATGAAAACCCTTCTGCCTTCTTACAAAGGCTGACTGATGGTCTTCATCAATATACCAAACGGGGTGAAGAGAGGGCAGGGACACAGGGAAAAAATGAGAACCAAGACCTGTCATGTAAACGTCCAAGATCCCAGTAATGAATGTAACTGTACTGTATACCTAGAATGTACCAATCAACTCAGTAAAAAGAAAAAAAATATATACCAAACTGGACCCTGAGTCTGTTGATAGCCAGCGGCTGGTCATGATGCACTTTTTCTCTCAAAGCTACTGCGAC